TTTAAGATGCACACCTTGCAATCTATCCTCTTGGGTACCAGGCAGGGGGACTGGCTATCCTCTATAGACCTTTCAGAAGCATACCTACATATCCCAATCTGGCCCTCCCACCACAAATTCCTCAGATTTTGTTACAACAACCTTCACTTTCAATATGTGGCCCTCCCTTTTGGTCTAGCTTCGGCCCCAAGGACCTTCACCAAGGTCCTCGCGGCTTTAGCAGCTCACCTTAGGAGCTTTCCCGTACGCCTCCACTGCTATTTGGATGATATCCTCATCCTCTCTCCGTCCAAGTGCCAGGCAGAGAGGGACACCAGGGTTACTCTCTCCGCCCTCCAGGCCCACGGGTTCCTTATCAATTGGCAAAAGAGCCAACTGGCTCCATCCACTCGAATTACTCACCTGGGAGCTGTAATCGATTCGGTCTCAGAAAGGGTCTTCCTCTCTTCAGAGAGGTTCCTCAGTATCCAAAAATTGGTCAAACAAATTAGGCAGTCAAAAAAGGTAACTTTGCTTGACCTCTCCAAATTACTAGGTAAGATGGTCTCATGCATTTCCATTGTTCCCTGGGCCCGTTTACACAGCAGATCCCTACAGTGGTTCCTGCTCCCCTTTCAAAGATCCGGAAGAAGCAATTCGAAATCCAAGGTCAAGGTACCTCCAAAGGTCCTCACGTCCCTCCTCTGGTGGACCAACCCCGCCATCAACAAGGGCCATCTCTTCAGGGAGCCCCAGAGGCTTACCCTCACCACAGACGCCAGCCTATCCGGATGGGGCGCTCACGTCAATTCGCTCACGGCACAGGGCAGATGGTCAAGGATACAACAAAGATGCAGCATCAACTGGCTGGAGCTTCACGCCGTCCACCTGGCCCTGCGCAGCTTCCTCCCTCAGGTTCGCGGACGTCACATCCTCATTCTCACGGACAACATCACGGCCAAAGCTCACATCAACAGGCAAGGGGGCACCCAGTCTATTCAGTTGATGAGGGAGGCCGAACGTCTCTGCCGTTGGGCAGAGTCCAATCTCCTCTCGCTAAAAGCAGAGCACATCTCCGGAGTCTCCAACATCCAGGCGGATTGGCTGAGCAGGGCCACGGTGGACCACTCAGAATGGCGCCTCCACCCATCCCTGTTCAAGGAGGCGTCCAGAATCTTCGGCCTACCGGTGGTGGACCTTTTTGCATCCCAGACCAACGCACAACTTCCCAGGTTTTTCTCGAGATACCCTTCCCACGGGTTGGAGAGCCACAACGCGCTACGCTGCCCCTAGCCCCCGGGGCTCCTGTACGCCTTCCCCCCACTAGCCCTAGTTCCCAGAGTGATACAGAAACTCATCCACGAGAAGGCGGATCTGCATCTGGTGGCCCCTTATTGGCTCAGACGCCCGTGGTTCGCGGACCTCCGCAACCTATCTGTAGCGCCCCCTTGGAGAATCCCCCCGGACAGGATTTCCCTCTCTCAGGGGCCCCTACTCCATCCGGAACCCCAATGGCTCCAGTTAGCCGTCTGGAGGTTGGAATAGCTTCTGCAGGTGGTGT